TATCCCAGCCTCACCCTCCTGTCCTGGGGACACCTTGCTGGAGGATACTGGCCAGCCCACTGGACCAGGGGCCCCTGACTGTGTCACCCACCACAGTCCTTGGGAGGACACCAAAGGACCCCTGAAGGGCATCGCCAGCCCCCAGCTCCGAGGACCACAGCAGGGCCCCTGCATAGCGAGGCTTCAGCTTAGAGTCTGCAGGGTCTGGCTCAGACACCAGCAGCTCTTCCTGGTTTTCTTATTTCGGGTGCAGCTGGGAGAGACCTCTTGGTATCACTAGGCCCTGTTTTATTCCCCCCACAAACTAGTGAGCTTCCCTCCCCTTCGCAGCACCCTTAGATTTGGGGAGGGTTTGAAGAGGGAGCCTTTGGAGCTGGTCAGTAGAGCATTTTAGCAACCCTATAAAAATAGGCTCACCATGTAACCGTTATTAGTAGTAATTTGATGAACTATTCTGACTTGGTATCTTTGTTCCTTGGTCATCATTTTGTCCCTTTGCTTTGTGAAGATGTGGAAAACAAAAATAGACACACTGTTCCCAAGTGGAGAGGGGTCTCTGTGCAGAGGAGCCTCCCAAGGGCAATGAAATCACGGGCTCCCAGGATGAGAGAGGTGATTTATTAAGCAAACTTAGGAAGGGACCGATTGATTAGAAGTCATTGGGCATGGCCAGTGTGCGATGTGACTGGTGTAGCCTTCAGGGGTCACATGACCTGGAAGCACCTGCAGACATCCCGAGACCCTGCAGGCAGCACAGGTATAGCTGCCACCCCCGGTCACGCCCTGGCTCCAAAGCCCTGGGTAGGTCACCTCTGTCATTGCGTCTCCCTTCATGTTTTGCCGATTAGTCACTCGTGACGTAATAAGGGCTGTGGCTAACCAGTAATAATAAATCTGGCCGTTTCGGTTGAGCCATATAATACCCTGTGTATATTTAAAAGGTAAGCGTGATATACAGTTATGAGTGCTGATGTCATAGCTACTAGATTTATAATACATCCAAGAAACATAATTTTATTATAAAGACCAACAGTTTACAATCTTATTGTTGTTTATTGCTGACGTCAGTACAGACCATAATGAGATTCGGGTTGCAACTAGAAATAAGGTCCATGAACGTCTTGGCCCGTGGCACCCAGTCTGAGCCGGCAGCAGTTCTGCCCCGGTGTGCTCTCCGCAGCCGCTCCACTGGCACCAGCTTTGTGCTGGGAAAACCCAGAGGAGCAAGTCCGAGTCCTGGGGAAATGCCCAGTGGAAACCACGAGAAGCAGAGCGGCGCACGGTTCCTGCCATGCAGACACTCCAGACTGCAGTGGCTGGGAGGGGTGACCTGGGAGGTGGCTGGGCCTGGCAAGGATGTCAGAAGGGAATCCGTCCCTCTCACCTCCACAGAATGGCTTGCACCAAACTTTCCCAAAGACTTAGAATCGTGGTCCTCGGGACAGGGCGCGTCTGACAGAAGAGCTCAGCCACGCCAGCTGGTGCAAGTCTGAGCCCATCACTGGTTTCATGGCCAGGGCTCTGCTGTGAATGTCCCCTCACAGGACCGTGGCATCACACTTTATTAGGACAATGGGCTGAGCCTGCTGGATGAACACCTTGACTGGGCCGGTGCTCAGCCACTTGAGATCTGGGGGGATGGGAGAGGGGTGGCTCTGAGATAGGATGCGGCAGCTCAGGTGACCCCTGTGAACCCACTCCTACCTGCAGCGAGGAGCTCCGTGCCTCCTCAACTCCCCACGTTTCTCACTGTGTCTGAATTATGCTTGAAAATCATTTTTAAAAATTAGTAAAAACATCAAACAAACACGTGCTACAGATCTACAGAGCCAGCTCCCGTGGGTGACCAGAGCAGGCCCCTTTGAGAGCCAGGCTCTAGGGGGAGCCTTCCTCATCGGTGTGGGATTTACTGGGGATCCAGGTGTAGTGATGAGGTGCAGGGTGTTGGGCCAAAGCCAGACTCCTTCTCTGAAGCCCCCGATGACTGACGATGGGAGTTTCCGCCTTCCCTGACCTGGTGGTGAGCTACCTGAGGGCAGGGTGCACCTGGCCTTCCTCCACGGCTTTGCGCGGGTGGGTGTGACATGAACAGTCTGTGCCTGTGTTCCTTGTTGGGCTCCACGTGGCTACGTTCCTGTGTGTGGATGATTCCTGTCTTTGAATCAGAACATCAGAACACACTGGATCCAGCCAATCTAGAATGCCCGCCCCCCAGCCAGGAGGGCCCTGGAGAGGCCATGCTAACCTCTCAGCTGCTGGTGGCACCTCTACATTTTAGTACCTGTTTAAATTCCCAAAGACAGGCGTGCACACGTGCATACCCACACACCTATACACACAGGCTCATACCTGTGCACACACACACAGGCCAGCTGAACATTGTGTGACCCTCAGCACTTCCAGCCCTGTGCCTTTATATCAGTCACTGGGCTTTGATTTATACCTGTGAAAATCAGAAGCATTATATTCCAATCTGCAAAGTCTGGTTTCCATCTCATTACTGACTTTCCACTTGGAAATAAATAGGTGACAATGGCCAAACACAGCTCCCAAAATAGCCCGTCCTCAATAAACGCCTGTCAAATTAAAGTGAAATGAATGAGTCAGTTCTATTTATACAAGAAAAACAAATGGGTGGCTTGAAACATAACCAGGGGCTGGCTTTGGGGTGGCATCACAGAGGGCTGTGCTGTTGGGCTCTGAGGAGCATGGAGGAGCTGGACTTGGCCCTCCAGGGAAGCCTCTTGAGGGACAGACAGGGTGCTAGCAGGAGCTGAAGGGACTTTGGGGTATGTTCCTGCTCGAGGGGAGCCCCTGTAAGTCCCTGGGTACACCTGGCTTCCCATCCTCTGGCATCTCCCCTCTCTCCCCACAGCCACAGTTGGCTATGGGTGTCCAGCAAGGCCTTTGTTCATGGACCCTGGAGGGCAGGGGTGGCCTGGGTAATGCATTGGCAGGACCCACACAGGATTATGACTTTCTGAATGTGTTGACTGGTGCTTTCCAAGATTTAATAATCATGAACTCCACCCAAACTACACATGCCACAGAATGGCATTTTTAATATCACGGACCTGATGACATTTACACACCACTTGAACTTTACTTCAGTGGTTTATATATTACCATCGCAGCCCTGTACAGTGTGGCTTCCGAGGAGTTGATTCTCTGCCTTCGAGCGATTTCTGGGCTTGGAAACAAGCACGCTTCGCTGGCCCCCAACAGTTTAAGCTCCTCATAACAGCTCCGATGGCACAGTGTATTTCACGGTGATTCCTAGGTATGCTGTCATTTTCAAAAAATGAAACCACCCAACAACGTTTCTCTACATCTAAGAGAGGTTAAAAGTAAACAGTCCCCACTGCCACGAGCCTGTAGCATTGCACCCAGAGAATCATCCCCATGATCCGGGCAAAGAAGGGGCTTCCTCCTGTCTGACCCTAGATTCTGAACAAGGTGGGGCTGGCATCTTCCACAAAGGCCCGAGGTTGAGGGTGGGATTGCCAGTGGCTCCCAGGTGCAGGTGGGGGCCTGCTGGGCCTGGAACCAGCACATCCCTCCTGTGCACGGCGTAGAGGTGGCAGAACAAACTCTGTTCTTTCCCTGCAGGAGACTCCAGGTCAAAGACGGTGTCCCTGTGATGTCCCTTCCCAGGCCACAAACCACTGTCTGTCCTGCCCCTGGAGCAGGCAGTCAGGAGAACAGAAACAATCCCCACATGTCCCCTCACCACACGGTCGGTGAGCCTGAAAGAACAGGCTCTGGCGTGTCCACACCTGGTACCACCGCGGGGCTGTGTCCACAGCACACACAGAGCATGCTTTGCTCCCTGGTATCAGGATGCTGTGCACCATTCCCAGCAAACATGAGGCTCTGGCTGTCCTGGGTGGGCGTGGGGGGACTGGGAGAAACCGCACTCCCTCTAATTGCACATGCATAGAGCATATTATTTGCTCTGTGCCCACAGGCTGGATATCTGCAGTTGATGACACTGTAATTTTACCTCTTCAATGCCTGCCTGAAGTCGGTGGTCAAAAAACAGAGAGAGAAAGAGGGAGAGAGAGGAGCCCACTGTTTCTCTTTCTCTCTTGTGCGCGAGGCCTCCGGGGTCCGCATCTGCCCCATGGTTGGTTCTTCTGCTGTAGAGGCATCTGAGACTTTTCTCCTGTAGCCTGGGTTGCTCTCTAAAGGACAGTTCCTGCATCCAGAGTCGAATTCGGGCCTCCCCAGTATGAACCCCAAGGTCTTGGAGGAAGCCACTGCTCCGTCACCCTCTCACCTATAACTGACCCTTGCCGGCCCACAGCCTGTGGCTGCCCCTGTGCCTCGGTTCCAGACCTGGTTCTCATCCTGTTAACTGTGGCCATCAGGGACACACACATCCGAAGTGCACAAGCTCCAGCTCATCGCCACCCCCACCCCCACCCTGAGGAAGAGGCAGGTGGGCGGGGAGGGGGCGGCGGGGGCAACAGCGCTGGGCCTCTCAGGCTGGCCCTGGAGGCTCTCAGCATCCTGACTCCTCACGCCCACCCTGTCTATCAAAACCACTTACTCAAACTCAGATGGGTCCTGTCAGAGCCTCCCAGATGGTCAGGATTGGCCCATAGTTCCTCCTTCAGGTGTGGGTCTGGTGCCCAGCCAGGGAGCTCCTGCATCAGGGGCGGGACAGTCAGGAAGAGAAGTCCCCGGGGACAGTCTTCCACAGAGGCAGATGCTTGGTGGGTGGAAGGTGCCCAGCCCCAAGGATTTACACATCTGAGGGACAGGCCAGCAAGGAAGAGGGGTCCCAGTAGGTACAGGGCCAGCACCTGCAGGTGGAAGGTCACCCCAGGCCAAGTCCCTGGTGTCGAGTGACTCAAGGAGTCCACAGAGGTGGCCCCCGGGTGGTGATTCTTGTCCCAGGGGTTGGGAGGCTATTGAGCAGCCCAGGCAGGTCCAGAAGCCCCCTTTGGCTCCACCAGAAGAGGTGTTTTGGCCACGACGTTGGCACATCATTCCTCTGACACTAGTGACGATCCTCAGGACGGTCAAGGCCCCCCTGCACACTGGCTGCTGATGTCAGATTGCCAGAGTCAACCCCATCACACCTGCCTGTGTGGCACCGTGGGCTCTGGGGGAAGTAGAGTGGCTTGTGGAAAGAGAACCGTCCTGGGACATCAGGACATCTGGAGCCCGGGGCTCCAGATCTGGCTGTGAGACACTCTGGGACCCCGGGCTGATCTAACTCCAAGAGAAGGCGGGTGCTCGCTCAGCTCTGCCGGCAGTGGAGTCTCAGTCACGGCAGCGCCCCTGACAGCTGCAGACTCTGATCTGTGACCAAGGCAGCGACAGAACATTGGGCCGGAACGGAGCACCTTCCACTAGGGAAAGGGTGGACTTATCAACAAGGGATTTGGAGACAACTGGGTGTAAAGTTGGATTCCTTTCTTAGTCTCCACCCGAAAATAAAAATAGATATATACACAAGTCATAGAGTCCAAAACCATAAGGAGAACTATACTTGATATCAGAGATGCCTCTCTCGGTAGGATGTAAGAGGGAGCGGTCCAGGAGGGAAGGTAGGATTCTCTACGTAGCAGGAACCCCAGCCAGATAGTTACAAGGTAGATGACAAATTGGAAAAAAATATCTGCAATATATTTGAGAGCCACTGTTCAGACAATAGAAAGAGCTTCTATTAACCAATAAGAAAGTGCGAAGAACTCAGTGGAGAAACAAAAGCCAACTGCCCAGAGAACATGTAGAATACGTAGACCTCTTTAGTGTCAAAAAGGCTGCCTCGGACACACACGTGTTGTGTTATTGCTACGAGGCAGGCAGAGCTGGAGGGTGACAGAGCCATTCCCTGGGAGGACCCGGAAATGGTGGTGCAGAGGCTGCTGGATTCCTCCTACAGCAGGTGCTGGGAGGACCGAGCGGGCGCCTGCCTTCGCGCACGTTTGCAGTTGCTAAGCGAAGCTCCACATTTCCCTTTTAAGTGCAGCTTTTATGATGGGAAAGTAGAAGAAATATTTTAACCTCATTGGACAAAATGTAGGGGTTTGTGTTTTGGTTTCCATGGCTATCGAGGTGGAACAAAACGAATATTCTGATTATAAAAATGAGCAAGTGATCTGAGCAAGCATTTCTCAACAGCAGACGTACACAGGGCCACCAAGTGCATGAAGAAATCTTCAGCATCACTAATTATCAGGAAAATGCAAATCAAAATCACAGTGAGATCATCTCATCCCAGTTAGAATGGCTGTCATCCAGCGGAAGCAACAGAAACCACAGCAGATAGTGGCGGCCAATACCGCGCGATGCAGAGGAGGGAGCCCTGGACGCTGCTGGCGGACAGGCGCTGGAGCCGACTTGCGCAGGCAGACCTGCTGTCCGACCCATGCACATTCATCCTAAGGAAAGAAAACAGTATGCAGAGAGGGTCACACTCCCAAGCTTACGCAGCATCGTCCACAAGAGCCCAGACACAGTCCCGTGAATGAAGACAATGAGACTCGCGGGAACATCAGGGCTCTGTGCAGCCACACGGAAGCATGGAAACCAGGAAGGGCCCAGAGGACGTCATGCCAAGCGAAGCCAGCCAGGGGCAGAAGACCAAGCGCACCTTCTCACTCCTGTGAGCAAGTAAATGCGTCGGCCCATCAAGGCAGAGGGGGACAGTGGTTCCAGAGGCTGCGAAGGAGGGAAGGGGCAGGCACAGACGGCTGGCTAGGACGGCGGCGTTTTGGTGTTCTGGCAATGATCTATTGTACATCTCAAAATAGCTGGAAGAGAGGGTTTTGAGTGTTCCCAACACAAAGGAAAGACAAATATTTGAGGTGATGGATATGCTAATTACCCTGATTTAACCATTGCACATGGTGTACATGTGTCAAAATACCACACTGTACCCCGTGAATACGTACGTTTATTATGTGTCCATTTTTAAAATGATGATTTTTGAAAAAAGAACCCAATATATGAAAAACCAAATTCAGAAGCTGCAGTTGAACCGGAGTTCCCTGTTTGTTGTAAATAACACCCCAGAAGAAGGCAAGCAGGGGTTGCACCCGGGTACATCACCAGCTCTGTGACAGCTCCGGGCACGCTGCCTGTCCGCTTGCCTCACACCCTTCGCCCTCCGTTGCCCCAGGTGGGCTACTCTGCCAGGACCCAGGCCTCACTGAGTGCTGGCCAGTCCTCTCGGGGCCTGCCCACCTGCCGGTGCTGCTGCTCTTCCCCTGCTCCTGCTGGGCTGCCATTTCTTCTGCACCCTCCTCCAGCCCAGCTCTTTTCTCCATGGCTCCCCAGCACACGCATCTCTTCATTCCACGGTTCTTCTCTCCCTCTCCTCTTCCTCCAGGCCACGCGTGATCACGCTCCTGAGGGCAATATATATATATATAGGATATATATATATAGGATCAGATGAGTTTGGAAGAAAGAAAAGAAAAATAGTCGCCCAGATTTCTGTGGACTTCCTTCCTCCTCCCCCGGTCCTTCATCAGCGGCATCACTCAGAAACAAACGAGGAGCCCTTGCCACCTGCCTCAATGTGGAGGTGTGGGGGTGCCACCAGTAAGGTGCTCTGCTGCTCCTTGAGGAGCCATCGGAGTGAACACATGGCACTCATTTAGGCAGCTCCTGGGGTTGCCACCCCAACAGGCACGGCCAGCACAACGGGCGGTGCAAGTGGGAACTGCCCTAGATGCCTAGCTTGAGGGGGCGGGTGGGGGTGCCGACTTTGAAAAATGGAATCAGACCAAGCCACTAGAAAAAAAGATGGTTACATGTATAAAGAGGGTGAAATTCCACAGCAACAAGTCAGGTCAAGAAAGAGCCAATGCTGCACACGTGTGTCCTCCGGACAAGACCGCCTTCGGCTGAAGGCGAGGACCAGGGCTCCGCAGCCATCTGTCCCTGCGTTCTTCTTCACCACATCCTCTGGGACCAGGCGTTGTGGCACAGTAACAAAACATGAGGGCTCACCCCTGGCGCAGATGTGGCCTACCTGATGAAGGCTTTGGCAAGGTCTCCCGCTGGGAGATGGGGACTCTGTCCCCCTGGGAGCTGGGTCTGCTCTCGGTGCACGAGAGGCCCTGCAACCCCCACAGTTCTGAGAGCCCAGGGTCCACAGAGAGAGCCCGGGCAGGGTGGAATTTTTAAACACTAAAAATGCAGTGAGGGGACCCCTGGCTGACCTGGCCTAGAGAGGTGAGCCTGGGCCCAGGGAGAGTTCCAGAGAGGTTGGAGGGTGCTGCTGCTCTTCTGCAGCCTCACAGGGGTGCAGGGGCTCCTCCCAGCCTCATGCCCAGCCCTTGGGGGGGCTGGTGTCAAGCACACTGCAGTGAGCAAACCTGAGAACCCCGGGATCTGACGGCTGTGCACAGGGGCCAGCTGCTCCCACTGTCCTCCTGCACCCCAGCCTCTTGCTGGGTGGGGGGGAGCCTGAGGCTGGGAGCACAGCCAGACAGAAGGCCGTCATCCCACGCAGAAGATGCAGCCCCTGGCCCTGCTCAGGCAGCTTGTCTCCCAGATACCCACATGAGAGTCGCTGTGATCGAGAAGGGCCACCTGGGAGCAGAGCTGCCTCCCTATCGCCCTGCCAGGCGGTTCTGGGCAGACCCGCCCTGGGCTAGCAGGTCCCAGGTCAGCCTGTTCATTTCTTACCTGATGCTCATCAGGCTGCCGAGTGGTTTATGTTATGTGTGGTGGAGAAATGACCATAAAAAGCCTGCTCTGGTTTGGTCATTCTGAGCCAGCCACCAGGGAGTCACAAAGGGCTCACGGAGCCCGGCTGCGAGCCAGGACTGCGCGTAAATCACCGTCACTGCGTGGGCTGGCAGCGAGGGAGGGCCCCTTGGAGGCTGTCTCTGCTCTGCTGGGCTGAGTGGGCAGGCCTGCCTGACCCTGCCCACCCCGGCACAGGCCCTTCGGGGCTGCTGACAAGAGCCCCTCCTGCTCCCAGCCGCCTGAGGAGCCTGGAGCCAGGTGGCCCATCTGGGGAGGAGCCTGGGGGTGCAGGTCAGGCCCAGGCTTCCTCCCACACCGGTGCAGCTGGGCCGTCTGCAGCTCGGGGCCTCCCAGGGCCTAGGGAGCCAGGGAGTCACCTCCACGTCATTCAGCCCGGGTGAGGGGTTGGGACCAAGGGCAAACCCAGAGGCCGATGGCAGGAATCCTCTTCACTCCCGCAGAGCAGCCCCTCCTCCTGTGACCCTGCTCGGTCCTTCCCCTGCTGCGTCTTCCCCAGGGGGCGCCACCGAGCAAGGGCCGCTGGCCGGCTCCTCTTGTGCCCCCCCCCCTCGCGCACTATGCTGTCCTGAGCCGAGCTGGCAACAGCGGGGCAGGGCAGGGCTGGCCGGCTGGGCAGGCTCTGTTTCTGAAGGACTCAGTCTGAATCACCAGCCCCTGGTGTCCCATGTGTGCATGTGCCCGAGCCTGTGGGACAGTACGGCTGCCGTGGGTCGTGTGGTGAGTCACCAGTGTGGCTGAGTGTGAATCGCGCACACCGTGAGCGTGTGTCTGGGCTGTGTGCACACTTGCTGGTGTGAACTGTGCCCAGATGTGGGAGTGTGCTGAGACGAGGTGTGGGGGCCTCTCTCGTGGCTGGGACAGGAGGGCGCCTGGTCTTTCACAGATGGCACCATGGGGAGGGTGTGTCTGAGCTTCGGACCCTCCGTGGACATGCTGAGGACACTGAAAACCCACCAGGCCCCGGCAGCCCGCAGCCCAAGACCCGGGTCAGCCTTCACCTCTCCTGCAGGCTGCCCTTTGCCGACGGCTGACCCTGGTCTGGCCCTCTTTGTTCACCTGCAGGATGGGGACACTAGTGGCATTGGGATCCAGGGCACTCCTGTGTGGAATGATTAATGCATAAGAGTGGTCTCCCAGATGGCCCCTGTTTCCATGAGATCTGTCCCCATTACATCAACATGGTGACAATATCAGGCCTCCTCTGAGAGTCCTGCCAGCGGGCAGCCCTAACCCATGGGCCACCCATTCTGGTCATGAGCTGGCCTCAGATGCCCCTGGGTCCCTAGAGACAGGAACAACTCCCGCTACAGAACCCCAGGCCCAAGCACCACAGGCTGTCCCACGTGGGGTCCAAAAACCCAGAAGGAGTCCCCAGCCTCAGCAGAAGGCCTGCCCCCTGGGGGCCCTTGTTGCCCTGGGTCTCCCCTGTGGCTCGTATGTGGTGGCTGGCCCATAGGTCCCAGAGCAGGTGACAGTTGCCCATGACTGACAGGCCTCACTAGTGGTACAAAGCTGTCAGTCTGTGACTTGTAAAGGGGTAGAGGCCCCTTCCCCCACAGTGCATCCTCGCCCCCCAGCTGCAGACTGTGCACTTAGTGCCTACAACAGTGCTCATTTCCTTGACAGAAAATGTTGGGACTTCCAGGTGAGCGCCACAGGCCTGTAGAACAGCAGCTCTGGACCCACTCAGGTCAGATACTGCAGATCTGTTAGGCCGGGGGAGCGGGGAGTCTCGTGGCCTGCAGAGATGCTGCCCTTTGAGCTGCACTCAGGACTCACAGCACTGGACTTCCTGCAGAGGAAACATTCTAGACTGTTCCTCGGAGTCACTGTGTCCGCGGAGTCATTACAAGACACCAAGGTCAGGCTAGTAAATCCGGAATCATTATTTCAGATTTTCTTGCAGCCCTTGAAGTCACTTGTCAAACCCCGGCCATGCTCCGTGGCCCTTGAGGAAAGCCAGCCTTAGAGGGTGCTGGGGACGGAGGACACTGTGGAATGCCAGGTCCTACTGCAGCTGCAAGACGCCCAGCAGAGGCACATTTCAGTAAAGTGAAATGACTCTGCAGGTGAAGTGCAGCCTTCCACAGGGACCACGCCGCCCTCCCGTGGCTCTCATGACCTCTGGCCCATTGGCACTCAGCCCCCAGCAAAGGGCTCTGCCTGCTTTAGTGCAGTGCTGGTGTGGTAAAGCCGGGGGCACAGTGGCTCAGACTGTGGTCATGCTGGCTGCTCTGAGTGGGGACAAGTGCTTGAGCAAGGAGAAAGTCTGGTCCACGGCATCTGGACCAGCGTCCTGGACAGAGGAAAAGGAGAAATGGCATGTGAATGAGACTGGCCATTTCAAGTCCTTCAGTGGAGACATCTTTGGAGGTCCAACTCTAGCCCTGTGCCCACTGAGACACAAGGCCTGGCTTGACACAGTGGGTGACAGGACAATGCTGAAGTAAGATGTTGGGTCTCTTGTATGGGAACCACCAGGCGTTCCATCCTGGGGTGCCTGGGAAGCAGGTGTGGCTCCTGCCCCTTCCCTGCATGCCATCACATGGGGAGAGGGGACAAGAGAACAAGTGTCTGTGTGTGTGCAGATGGGAGTGTGTGTATGGGCTTGTGCATGTGTGCACAGGTGTGAGTGTGCATTCACACATGTACACGGGAGTGTGCATATGTCTGCACAGCATGTGTTTGTTTTTATATTCTACACGTGTTCATGCGTGTGTATAGGCCATGTTGCACATGTGTGCATGTTGTACCCTCCACGTGCATGCGTGAGGACCTATGGCTTTCCACTCCTCAGGAAGAACTGTCTGCCGCTGAGATCGGCTTTTGCGATGCTCTTGGGGCTGCAGGCCGGTGGGCCCTGGAGCACAGACCAGACCCCCACACCCGCCCTGGCTGCTCTGCGAGGGTTGCTAAATGCTCAGGGCCCCCCTGGTGCTCTTCTCATGCCCAGGACACCCAGCCCCAGGAAGGTGGCTGCAGTTCAGACTTCGTGGCATCGGCCAAGAGACCCTGGGCCACACTGGCTCCGCCATGCAGACAGGGTGCATGCTTTCCTCACCATCTCCTTGACTGGAAACTCACTGGGAAAAGCAAGAAAACTGCATGCACAGTTAGATGATGGATTCCAGGTCATTATGTTCTGTTGTATTTTTGAATGAGCATTAAAATTCATCTCTGGGAACTGTTGAACAGCAAGTGAACAAAACCCCGTAAGAGCCCTAATGCTTCTTCGCATGTGCACCAGGGGGTGCTCCGCCGAGGGTCTGACCGGGAATGTTAACCGTTCCCAAATACATCGAGGTTTCATTTTTTTAAAAAGGCAAAAAAGTCTCACTGTAGATTTCTACTTCTTTCTAGAAGAAAAAACAAGTGATACCGTTTTAAGCTGCAGCATTGGGGGGAAAACATGTGAAATATGTGATGTGGTGTTTTTACCAACTGTCTAAATAAAGGGTTAGTGAGTCACTATGGAAAACAGAAAATCTTTCTTTATTTTAAGAGCTGCAATTTAAGAGTGTTTTCTTCTTCTTCTTCTTCTTTTTTTAATGCAAAAGCTTCCCTTAGGTTTGCAACTTAAACATTGCCCATCTGCTAGATCCTCCCTAGCCTGAATTTACAGCAAATCTGAGATTTCATTTTTCAAAAAAAAATGTACTTCAGAAACTGCCTGTTGGCCGGCAGCATCTTGAAGACGGAGAGCTGGGTCTGGCCCCTGTTCCTTCATTCACACTCAGGAGTGTTTGTCTCCCCATGTCTGAAGTTGGGCCACCATCCAGGGTCCAGGTGGTGTGAGGAAGTTCATCACAGTTGGGACCTCACACTGCTCCCCAAAGTCCCATAGGAGGACCCTGGAGAGCAGTCACCTCAGAGCCTGGTGACTTTGGTCGTTGATGGGGTCTGAGAGGGGGCCACCCAGGCTCCCTGGCGGTGCAGCTGTTGACCCAGGCTGCACACGTCTTCCTGCCTGGGCTCATTAGTTTATTTTTCAGAGGAATCCTGGCTTCCCTTCCTCATGCAGAAGTATGCTCTGGAAGCCACATCCCAGTGTCACCGGAACATTGTGCTGACTATAAAGTTACACCCCAGTTGTTGTTTTTTTTGTTGTTGTTGTTGTTTTTTTTTTTTAATGAGGTAGAAATGATTCTGACTTCAAAAATCACGTCCAGGTATGAGCTTCAAAGACCCAAGGAATTTTCATAGCCCCTAAACTGTCGTTCTGTCTCGGAGTCCCATTATTAATGAACTCATTCACTTTTGTAAATATAACTGCACAAGTGTTTCCAGCCACACCTATAAAACTATTTAAGGCACTTTTTGAAACAAGGCGTCCTCAGCCATGGTAATTGCAGTTTACTAGACCTTTAAATGAGAGGCAGCCACTTATGAAGTTTGGATATGGTGAGCTGATGGGACAAGTTAAGCACAGAGGCAGGATTTACGGGGCCTGGCAGCCCGAGTGCCCAAGTGCCAGCGGAAGCCGGGAGTCGGGGAAAAGTCCTGCGAGGTGCACGGCTTCATGCCACTTACAGGCTGTGAGTCGCAACAAGAAAAATGCTGAATTTTACAGGAAAATAATATTCATAAATCTCCCACTGCAAGTTCCAGCATAACTCAGAGCTGTCTTTGTTTTGTGGCTGCGATGAATTCAATTCTGTTTCCAGTATAGGAACGATAAACACAAAGCCCCGGTGGAAACCACTCCCCTGCGTTCACCCGCGTTGGCAGCCAGCTCAGCGCTGCGCCCCGAGCCGCTCCTGCACCTGCACCTGCAGGTCCTGGGACTTTGAGTCTCTCTTCCTGAGAGTGGAGCTGTGGGGCCACAAGGGACCTTCTCGAGCTGTGTCCCTGGGCCAAGCACTTGCCCTTTCCACACCATGATCATGCCTCAAGCTGATCCTTTACAAAGGCCGCCCTGGGTCAGTGGCAGGGACATGGCTGATGCCCTTTCTTCCTGCTGGTGCGGGAGTGAAGTGGGGCCATGTACAGATCTTAGACATCTTTTGATCCATTGAAATCATGTCGAGACGCTCAATTTTTTGATGTTTAATTGCCTTTAACAGGTTCATCTTCTACAACATTTCCACTATTCAGTGGTAGATTCTGACACTGTCACTGAGCGGTGGTGGCCTGACCTTGAAGTCACTTGTCACTCTGAGGTCACTGTCTTCACCTGTGCTCAGGTGAAGGTGGGTCTCTTTGCAACGGTTCCCTGTGCATCCTTTCTTTGCAAGGGGCCTTCCATGCACCTGTAACCCCAAAGCCCGTTTCTGTCTGCACTGTCCCCTACGAGCTGGAGAGATGCCCTGCTGTCCTCAAGTCTCAGCCCCTGGCCATCCTGCCACCACGGCTTACGCCCAAGCCACTCTGCCCCAGCCTGTGGATGCTCGGCTACCTGATCTCTTCATTTCAGATCCTTCTTTTGCCTGATTCTTT